AAGCAACTGCATTGATGAAGCCAAAGATTTAGCACTAGTGTCGGCAAATATCTAGGACTACAGCCAGGGCAGCAACCGTGTGCACAAACCGACTTGTGTTTCTACTGTGCTGGTTTTGCTCTACGCTATCAAGTTCGAAGAGGCCAAAACTCTTAAGGAACGATGAAAACCATGCAAACAGCGAGTCGATTGAGTTAGTCCGTCAACAATTACAATAACCTACTTCTTCATCTATAGCCTAGGCAAATGAAGAAATCATGCATGGGGTGGGCGGCGGAAGTCTGCATCCGAAAAGAGGATATATGTGCCAAAAATTGTCGCTTATTAATACTACCGGTGAATAAATACTCAAACACTCACTTATCGGTACCACGCATATTCAGGACCATAGCCAATGCTCAGCAGTTTGTCTACATTCTGTGATATCGAACAACAAGAGCTGTTTTGAAGGTTTCTTACTTAATCATTGGTTGCAGTGGCCTAAGTATTTGGGCAGTTTATGCATTTCCAAGGACTACAATCGTCGTGCAATCATTTCGGAATTATCAACCGAGATAATTAAAGCAACTTAACAGGTTTGGATGCATGTGGATCAACACAGATATGGTGATCTTTTGCGTAAAGAGTGGCTCAAATTTTGCCTATATTGTTGATGCGACACATCCGTTTTTTCCGTCTAAAGTATTCGCCCAGGGATGCTAGCCTGAGAAAATTGACGACCCTCGTACACCGAATCAGAAGTGCTCCCACTCTCATCGTTAACCATATGGCATATTGTACTGGTGTACAATATACCAGACAATCTTAACTGTTTTTGAAGAAGAAGATGGGCTCTCCGGAACAGGTTTATTTATATGCTGACGTCTCACAGGCTCTCCATTGTCAAAGCGTAAAATGTAGTTAATCGAGAAGAAATTCCAAGTATCATGCTGTGTTGATTGGCCTAATGCTGATCGATTTTTCTCTGCACACACTGCCTCGACCTCGGTAGATGGTTGGCGGGCGCTTTGCCTGCGTGCTTTGTGAGTCACCGCTCTATCGGAGAAAGCTGATAGAAGTTTTGTAGCGAGGTCGGTCAGCCGGTTCATGTTCTTCCTCACCGAGTAAACTCGCCGTAGGGCTATCTCCGTACGGCCTTCTTAAGCCCGGTGTGGTTGTTTGGTCCTGAGCTGAACGATTGTGATGACGTAGGACTTTGCAAGCTGCATGAAGTTACAGATGTCTGTCGGTGGAGTAATTATATCTGCGGCCATCCTATTTCTCGATAATCCAGTATGTGTTATAGGAAAATCTAGCACTGGGGTCAGAAAATTGAAATTAATATTTAACGACATAATTCATTGAAGCCTTTGGTAACCGCTGACAGTTTCCAAAGACGGTCGCGGGAAGGACTCCGTATCTCCCTAACCTGATTTACAGTTCTTTCTCCGCGACACCTCAAGCACAAATGACATAAAACTGGACGAACAGGCAGATGTTTTGTAAACTTCACTAAAGTTGTTAAGTGCTTGTCGAACCGGTTCAGAGAATTCGGAAGAGCAATTTCGAAAAACAAACTAGTCGAACAGCTGATACAACTTATTGATGTCAGAGATGCCTAAGAATAGCTCATAAGTTTTCCAGCCTTCTGTTAATTTAATATTTGTGCAGAAATATGCGCACAGCCACACGCCCAATGCAAGGGGTTCGACCACTTTCGTAGATGGGAGAATCTTAAGAACATTAAAATGCGCAAAATAATCGTAAGTGGTTTTCTTTGAAAAACTTTTGTGGCTTAGTCATCATAAAATAGTATTTCCAATATTAACTTTTTAAGATTCAGACAGCCATACGACCAGTTTAAGGTTTATTTCAACAAAAATTTCGAGAGATATGGGGGTGACCATTTTACAGAAAATCTAGGGTTGATCAAGAATGCGTCAATTACCCCACCCATGAAATGCCTGTTGGACAAAATATTCTCTACTGTCAATATAGACTGCGAGTGTTGACTGTTCGACTGAAAATTGCGTGACCTGTTTAAGCGACGCCCAGACAATGTTTTTCACACGGCACACTACCGGTTTTCAGGGCCTGAACATCCCCGCAATATCCCCTCCGTCGCGAAAGGCAATGCGGGGGATGCGTTTGCTGATTAGCAATGGAAATGTTCGAACAGAGCTAACTTAACTAGGATGATCTGGAGTTCGGCTAATAAATTTCGGCTAAAATATTGGACTTACTGAGTGCTCCTTCTATAAGATCCATCTTACACCCAGTTCCGATGACGAACGTGACGTACATAACCGCTAATTATTTCTCACAATTAATAATAGCATTTAATATTTGATTGACGTTGCGGTATTCTGATCACGACCACAAATGCTTGATCTTAAAGTTGAGACTATGCTGTTCTCCTTGAGAACTCAGACCAGTTTTTATACGGATAGGGCACTGTCTACGACTAGCACCTCGTCCGCCGGCGTTTAATGCTTTCGCCTATGATATGACCGTTATTTGAGGCGCTATCGCAAACGACATTCAATCAACTGCAATGATGAAGTCAAAGATTAAGTACTAGTCTCCGCGAATATATAGGACTACAGCCAGGGCAGCAACCGTACACACACATCGACTTATGCTTCTACGGTGGAGGTCTGGGTTGCATCCATGACGAAGTAGGAACGATAATGCTAGTTTTGCGTTACGCTATCAAATCCGAAGAGACACAACCTCTTAAGGAACGATGACAACCATGTTAACAGCGAGTCGTTTGAGTCAGTCCGCCAAAAATTGCAATAACCTACAGTTAGTGGCCTAAGTCATGAAATGTGTCGAAATTTACAACCGACCGATAATCACTCGCTTACCGACACCATTTCATGAGTCCAGTGTCTATGTTAATAAAGAACAAGTTTTAAAGAATTCAAAACAAAATAAATGTTAAACGCAGTGTTGCGTTGTTTAGAAATGCCGATTTATTTTGAAAAGCGTAATACCCCAAAAACGTCAGAAATGGCTGTAATTGAGTAAAGTTTGTTTTTAGACGTATACAATGTATTATCATACCAATCACGTAGAAAATATGAAATAGACATTAATCAACGTTTAGTAACAGTGTTTCTGTGAACTTTTCATCGAAATATTGTTTAATAAGTAGTGTGATTTCATGTATGACTGTTTTACAACTGCCTACATTGAGTGTAGATTCCAAAGCAGCTATCCTGTGTTTCCTATTTAATTTTGCTCCTTTGATGAAAATGAGATGCGGTTCAACAAGTGAAGCTGGATTTTGCTTTATTCCACCGATAGAATGTCGTAGGATCAAAAGATTTCATAAGGTGACATGCCATGAGGCCGGTCGGGACACAATAATTTGTAGCAGAACTGACAGGCGTGATCGTAAACATACCATTTTGTATTTATAGAGAGAACTTTCCCTTTGTTAAATTAATTTACCCTTTTCATTCATTGTGGATTACGTTGAGTATCCGATCGTCCTCGAAATATTGCTGAATACTTCATGATTTTCAGTGTTTTCACGCGATCTTCCATAAAAACAAATTCTGAAATACCTGCCTGTTTGAGGACTTTAAAACAAGATTATTTTTGAAGGCATTTACCGAATTAATGAGTGTTCTGGCGTTACTGTTCACTAAGATGGTCGTTCTGGTCACATGTGAAGGCTCATTCAAATATAAAACTTCATTTTCGAGGAAAATGTCTGTCCACAACGAAAGTCAGTAACGAATCTGCTTATGATCAACAAAAAATTTCCTTAATAAGTTACCTCTTTAAGAAGTGCTTTATTACTACACCCCGTTGAAGGATCTCTGTGTACTTTGCACTTTTGCATGGTGAGGCCAAGTAGAAATTTGACACTTTTGGCCGTTTCTTTCAGGTTCCTCAGAAATACTAATATTTTTCAACCGTGAACTTAAAAGCATGCCTTTCTCCATATATGTGGAGATATCTTCCACTGCTTCTGCTCGCTTTGAGACTCCGTTCTCTGATTATGAATGTCCGTCGGGTCGATTATATAAATACTGATATTTTGCTGAAACTATAAACCTTTTGCTCGTCCTATTTTGATTAAGATATGCACAGGAGCTGGACTACACGACAAGTAGTGTTTCATATGTTTAAAGTCGGAAATTACCATTCCGTGTTGGTCATCTATGGCCCACCAGGTTTTCTTAAAATAAATTTTGTGTTAGCTGGTTGATCACCAGTGGTTAACGTCAGACATAAAATAAATTTTTTTAGTTCGGCTAAATTTGTTCATTAAAACTCTCGCTGGTGAATTACTATCCCTTCACTGAAGAAGTCGCTTAGATGCGAAGCCGGAGTCTAGTACTTGTATTACCACAGGAAATTAATCAAATATATTCCAAACTCTATTTTCGCTAAAATTTGCTGATATTTTACTTGATATAATGTCTGCACAAAAAAGGATTCTTTATTGAACAAAGTGGATGAACGAACATATCTTTGTAGTTCTCACTCTGCTTCCATAGATCTAAGGTATGTTTGGGCAAAGCATTCTGAACGGTAATACCAAGCAACATATGTTCGTTGATAACGTCTTTATTGCGCAAGTTAGCGCAAATTACGGTGATATGAAGTCTTCAAAATACAAACTAAGTGCGACATTGCGTGAAGGTTGTTTTAGTTCAGAACGTCAAATCTTGGTCCCCAAAGTAATTATATGCTGGTTTAGACTTTTTGCCTTTTGGCAATGGCATAGCCCATAGCTCAGAAAAATCAGTAGTTATTTTAATTAAAGCAACCAGCCAAATTCCCGGATAAACCCAAGAGTGATTGGCTTTTTCGACTCTGTTTGTAATTTACCCGTCCGGTGTTATGAATAGTACAAACACTCCACTTTTGACTTGTTGTTTTATTTAGGCAACCACCAGTTAAGTCCCGTGAAAACATACAATATTCGATGCATATGACCCAAAACCATGTCTAAAAGCACCCGCATACCACTGACATCCTTGTTCGTCGTTATGTACGGATTAAGCTACAAGGAGTATTTTGGCTTAAGACTTTTTACGGATGGTCGTGTGGTTGATTTTAGCAAGCAATGGTGCAATGGTGCAATGTGCAATGGTGCCACAAATGACATCTTTTAATTTTTGAAAAAAATGCTTACTTATGGTAGTCGGCGACGATCGACGGTTTTCATTGATTTTTGACGGTCACAAGATGAAATTGTTAGGTGTTATTATGGTCCTCCGTATATCAAAACTCAAGAGTCTTCATATTTCGGAGAAGAGCACTCTGATTATCGATAAAGCAATGTGATTTATCGGATATATCATCAGTAATCTTTATACTATCGATATTTAAACCCGTGCGTGTCAAATGGACGGCTGATTCCTCCCAGAATTTAGTTCGCTTGTATCTAGTCTCCGGCGCCCTGGTTAGCAAGAGAAAATAGAATCTGTCAAACACTCTCACAAAACAGACATCATACACCGACATCTGTTCCGATCCTGTTATATCACTTGGTGTTGATGGCTCACTAATCACTTTGACGTGCAGAATTTATTATTAATGCCGCTCAAGAACTTCCAAGATTGGGTTCGTCAATGTAACTAACACGGGACATCCTAAAATTAATAAGCGCACTCTTCGTTTTAACAACAAATTTACACAGGCTACGAACCTACTGTTAGTGGTTCTGCAATAAATGCATGCTTGTCGTCTTAGTGTTCCCTCCCTCTCTCAATAATCTTAGGTTAAACGTAATATCCCGACTCGAAATTAGTCATTTGAGAGTATTTTCACGGGTTGAGTTACATAAGCTGTTTTTGTATTGGGTGGCAACTCGCTTGAGATGTATGAATTAAAGCCCCTGCGAATACGGGGGCATCTCGGGTGAACCGTTCAACTGAATCTCAGCCGAGCCCATAGCTCAAAAACATCAGTAGTTATTTAAATTAAAGCGACGCGCCAAAGTCTCAGATAAACCAAAGAGTGATTGGTTTCTTCGACTCTGTTTGCAATTCACCCATCCGATCTTATGAATAGTACAAACACTCCACTTTTGACTTGTTGTTTTATTTAGGCAACCACCAGTTACGTCCCGTGGAAACATACAATTTTCGACGAATAAAACCCAAAACCATGTCTAGAAGCACCCGCATACCACTGACATCCTTGTTCGTCGTTATGTACGGATTAAGCTACAAGGAATAGAATTAACAGTTAGCAACCATAAAGCATGATACTGACGTTATAGTAGGATCAAAAATGGAGCTGGCATGAGGGAAAGGACAAATGTGACAGAATTCAAATCGCAAAGGAAACAGATGAGAAAAAATCGAGGAATCAGTTAAACACAAAAAATAGAAGACATAATCAGAAGAGGAGGGACATAATAAAGGTAAAGGATAAGAGGCAATAGCCTAAAAATAATCGAACGATAAATGATGCTTTTTATTTCTATGCGAAGAAAGGATTGCCTAAAAGCTGTCACTAGCTCAACGTCATTTGGTTGAAATATTGCTTAGCCCTTATGGTGGCCAAAGCGCATTCAAACGGCCCATGTCATAAAATTGAATTGAATGGATAAATAAGTATGCATTTAAATTTCAGACGAAACCGTCTAGCGAAATGCGCCGCCCTGGCATTTAAATGACACTGTAGACATGCACATTTAATTTGACCACTTAAACTGTAATACATGACGTAGAGTATTTCACAGCTACACAATAAGTTGTATACTGACAACAAGATGCGACAATATAAAACAAAGAACAGAGAGTCTGAAATGAAGATCAGGATCAACGAGGTATAGTAGGAGTAGGCCTAAGAGTGAAAGAACAACATAGTAGTAAAAAATGCAAAGGAGGAAAGAGGGAAAGAACATAAAATAAAAGAGAGCGGAAGGGCGCATAAGAAGATGAGAAGTAAGAAAATGCAAAAAGAAAGATGCAATGATGGGCAAAGAAGCTGAAAAATGAATGACGAAGAAGAAACGTCAGGCAAAAGGGAAGGTGCAAAAAGGAAAAGAGAAGACATAAAAGAACGAAAACTAGCAACATGATCGTAAGAGCCAAAAACAGATGATAATCAAGAGGAAAAATACAATATAGAAAAAGGGAAAAAGAAGAAAAAACAATTAAAACTTGGTCATGGGCTAAATGCAGGGAGCGATTGTGACCCACTCCGCAGGTAGTGTTAGTAAGCAGGGAGTAGGGAGGATGAGGAGGAGATAGAGGATGAGGGTGCGAACTTACCTTCGTTGCCGCAGGTCTCTTCGCAAGTGGATAAGTCCGAACATTCGTCTTCCTCGTCGGTGCAGGGTACGCAGATATTGTAGTCTTCGTCACATTTGAAGCCGCCTGTTTCTGATTCGGGAGCTGGTGATGTAGGAGTGGTTGCAAATGGAGGAGATGATGAGGGTTGAGTGGACAAAGTTAAAGCATTCCTGAATGAAGTATGTCCCGTGAAATCAAGTCTATCGGCCGCCATCGCCGCCGCGGCATCAGACGGCCTGCAGTAAACACTGGCCTACACTGGCCTGGCCATTGCCGATTTCTGCACAGACATCCCCATGCAGACTGCGGTCAACAGCGTGTTTGCTGACACTGGCTATGTATGCACGTATGCAACGCTTTTCGACGAGAGCGCACTTGCCTAATTCAGCCCCTGCAGGCGCCGCATCGGCTAGAAAGGCAAAGATGCGGTACATTCATTGTGCGCTGCCACAACACGGACTGCATTCTCATTAGCACCACGTGCACCTCAGTCTCGCTGAGGGTTACATTCGAGAATGTCGAATCTCCTACTCTGTCCTTCTATTTACAGCATAGCCCGGCACGTATTTAACTCCCATCCGTCTTCTCACTGCACTTCGTTCATAATGATGATGATTAGAAAATGAAAGTATGAAATCTAATTGTTTGCATGTCCTCTGCTGATGTCTGCTTAACTATGTGTATCTCTGCACAAGCAGTACTTCCCTCTTGCCTGCTGGAGGCACTAAGGCATGCACAGACACAGCGCACGTCTCGGCATGAGAAGATGCTCCAAGCTCTGCCAGCATGTCATGCCGATTACATACAGTGTTTGTGCAAAAACCGAAGGACATTTGCGGACTTCATACCCACATTAGAGTATGCATGGGTAGTAATCTGCGGTCTTATCCTGACACATCAGCCGCCTCCTCAATAAGCAATGAACCACTTGCCTTCTAGTCCGTTTTGTGCCCCGAGGGGATATGTCTTGCCATGTACAAACACTATCGTGCTACGCATGTCAGCAGTGCTATAGCATCATGGCTGCAATGAATACTTCAGTTCTATGGCACCTAAGGGTCATTCAATCAGCCGATGTATTGACTTCGCTCGCAGGATGCAATAGACTTCTATGTAAATCGCAGGAGAAACCACCTTGATGTACTATGCCAACGGGGTCATTTCATCTTACGCCGCTGCACTGCAGCTTAGCCTATCCCATTGCACAAAGGCCACCTGTCCCCCATGATGCAGTAGCCTACCTATTATTCCTGCTATTGCATGAATTGCATTCACCACCTATTCCTGCCAAGGAATGAGGCTTCGTTTTGACAAGATCGCACACACATACGAGGCGAGACAGTGCGGCCTTTGTGAAATGGCCCTTTCAGTTCATTATGCCAAATATTCATGGCGGGAAGATATGTCTAGATGGTGACCTAAACTTGAAGAAACTAAAACCATTGCAGGTCACACAATGTACAGGCATTCGTAAAATCATGCCTGCAGCCACAATCATATTTCAGCCTTGATCTACGGCTAACTGCAGGGAGTAATTGTGGCCTATTGATTCTGCCGGTGCACGTGGTCTTAGTTAGCACTAAGTCGGGAGGAGGGAACGGCGGAAGAGGAGAAGTTACCTTCTTTGCCGCAGGACTCCTGGCAAGTGGATAAGTCCGAGCATTCGCCATCCTCGTCAGTGCAGGATACACAGGTCTGGGAATCTTCATCGCATTTGAAGCCGCCTGTTTCTGGCTCGGGAGCTGGTGCTGTAGGAGTGGTTGCAAATGGAAGAGCTGATGAGGTTTGAGTGAACAAAGGCAAGGAATTCCTGAATGAAATATGGCACGTGAAATCAAGTCTATCGGCCGCTGTGGCCGCCGCCGCCCCATCAGACGCCGCGGCATCAGGCGGCCTGCTGGGAGATAAGTTTGCATTGGCCTGGCACAGACATCCTCATGCAGACTGCAGTCATCAGCCTATTCGATGGCAAACGCTATATATGTATGCATGTATTGCCTTTGGACGCGAGAGCACTTGTAGGCACTGCATCCGTTAGGAAGTCAAGCCTTCGGGCTTCTAATCCTAGAAGCACTAATTCCGCTAATTTACCTACTACGCATTTATTTCGCTCTGCATCATGATTTTTTTTTAGTTTGATCGCTATATTCGGTCGTAATTAATAAGTTGTGCAATCTATACTAGGGCACATTTAGAATACCCTCTCATTTATGCATATTCGTCCTTCGTATGCAGTTGTTCTTCTTTTTCTTTTTATATACCAGTGATTTTCTGCGAAAGTCATTCATATGCCCCCCTGCGTTTTGACGTTATTTTCCTTTTGTCCTTGCCATTTATTCTTCCTTACCTGCAGACAAAATAATATATATCTTCTAAATAACCATTTGTCCGAGATTTTTTCGGGTTTGCTCTATTCAGTTTATCACTTTGTACATGTGCTATATTTGTTTTGGCCTAAAGTTAGTCCACTTTCTTTGATGGTATTTCCATTAATAGTAAATTCTTTGGCAGTTTAGGAGTTTAGCTCCTTTTCCCTGTTCTCTGCAATATTCGATGATTAAACCCTGTCATCTCTAGATCATATTATGCAAGGAATTTCTAATTGATGTCATGTTTCTAGGGTACTAAACGCGCCTCGGGTCTTGTGAATATTCAAAAGCTGCTAGAACAATATTTAATTATGGGATGTACAATAAAGCAAGATTACGAAAATACAAATCATTATAAAAATGGATAAACTTTGTTTCAACCGTACCTTCACCAATTCCGCAGTTCTGGTAGCACTTCGTTAGTACCTGTTTAGGTTCCTTTTCTCCCGGTAGGGTAAAGAATATGGAATTAATGCATTCTTGTTGGTTGGGACTGCACACGTACATGTCCTTCACATATGTCTCAGTTTCTGAATGAAACAAAATGTTTTATCATTAAACATGCAGTAGCAATATTCATTCAGCTAATAGCTTAACGAATACTTTACCTTTTCTAGTTACTTGGCAGTCTACATAACATTTCATGAATTTGTCAACGGTCCCTTCACTGTTTGCAAAACGGAGGCAATTTTTCTTCGGTTGCATGCAGATCTCCCCCGAAGGCGTTACTTTCCCATCGTCTAGGACGGAAAGGTTAAAAAATTAGTAATAGCATAGTCATAGAGCAGCTCAAGAGTCTCTGAATTAATACTGCAGCGACTACAGGAGCCATGGCTGTGCATTTAGGGGTAACATAGGGTTTTCTTGCAAATAAACCTTTCCACGTTATTTTCGATAAGTGTTATCATTGATGAAGTTAAACATTTCTCACTGCTAATGGTGAAGTAGGTTATGGCATAGATGCACAATTATACTGAATTTTGACGCTGGTTGAGAATGCGAATTAACCTTACCGTTGGTGAGTGCGTGACATACTTCCAGGCATTTGGTCCATTCGAAGAAGGCGTCAGTAGATGAGTGGATTTGATAAAATTTCAACGGGGAACATGGTTTAGAGTAATCGATGCAGGAGTACGCTCTACGCGACTTCGCCGTAGGCACTAAACAACGGAAAACACTGCTTAGCTTTTGCCAAATAATAAGAGGTCTAAAAATGTTTCCAGGAAACAAGCCAACCGTTTTTGAAATCGCAGGCCTTTAAGCATTGACGATAGGATGAAAAGTTGTCCTGCTTATTGAGGAAGCCCACACAACCCGAGTACTTTTTTTCGCAGACGCTGGTGTGTGGCTGCTGCCGCGAAGAACCTTTACAATGTTGAGAGAAGAGTAATTAGGGATTCAGAGATGATCCTGAATGTATTATTAATAACAACACCTACATTTCACGCAACATTAACGAATTATGCAATAGGTTTATAAGCTGGGGTAGCTGCATCTGGCTACTTATGTAGAAGTCATAGGAATGAGGGTACATACTTTGTGTGACATTTCTGTTAGCGTATATATCATGGTTATTCTTAGACTAAATAAAGAAATGTGCCTATGTGAATGGCTGTATTTGTCGATGCAAATAATAAGACTGCGAAAGAATTATGTAACATGAAACATATCTCAGGCTAATTATACAAGCAACGTGCCATCCCATATAACTGTCCATCTTATTTCTACAGAGCATCTAAAAAAGGGGTTTCTTGGTAGGAACGTGGCATTTCTTCAAGGCAGATATATGTTTGGACCACTGACCTATCTAAGCATTCAGTTATAATGTGTTTTCTTAATTTAAAACCGTTAATATTGCTTGTGTATTTCGTTATCGTTTTTAAAGTTATAAACCTGGCAGTTTAGCAAAATAAGGCATTACAATTTGCACTTTTCTGAGGATTATCAGTGGTTGTTTTAAATAAATAATTCTAGTTTTTCACTTTGACTATTTGTTTTAACTTTACGTCAGATTACGTATGTACAACCTTCTTGAATTGTTAAATCTGTAGATGAATGATCAAACCTATCGCCGACTCGAAGTCCGAATCTGAGCAAATGTCGGCATCTTGCATTATAGTTATTCAATAAATAAATAATATAAAACAAATAAAACACTAATTGAGGGGAGACAATGTAACTGTTTGAGGAAAATGCGTAATCATGCTCTTGGGAATAATTTTGGGAAATCTAACTCATTGAAATATGCGAAATTTAATAAGCGGCGACAAAACGACAGATTGGACTTTAAGCTATTAAAAGTTCACTTCAGAAAACCATTAATCTTTTGGTGGCAATTTTCCTGTCAAAATCGCGTTGCATTGCAAAAACATAGCATGGATTAAGGCACGCAAGATGTACAGTAGATGTGCTAACTCATGAAATGTCAAAAACAATTTCAAAATGCGTTGTCGTTTGGAAAAGATAAATTAAGTAGTGTTGTAAAACAAATCATTATGCAGCATAAATCTATAATGATCCAGTTACCTCAGGGTGTCGGCTTTCAAAAAAACTTATTTTCGGCTGTATGCAAATCTACACTCTGCAAAAATGACTACTTAAGGAGCATGCAATTGTCTAATTGATTTTCCATGCCCTTGAAAATTCAATTATATTTCATAAAAAACATGCATAAAAATATTCATTCTTTTACTCATTCGGTACAAAATAACGTCTTCTTCCAAGTTCATACACAAAAGAATAGTATAATTCAGTTTTAAAAAACTTTTCTAATTCCCGAAGAACTTTGAACCCAACCTGCCGTTACACTTGCATTCAGGGTTTCAAAACTACAAGCTGTATATTTTCCGTGTACGGAAAACCATGCATTCCTCTACGGTGTTAAGAGAAGACCATATGAGGTTCATAAAATTAAGCAGTGAATTTGAGCAATGTTGTTAAATTTACAAGCCACATTCGTAAATGCAGATACATGACGTTTCATGAACGGCCATTTAACGGTATTAAAAAATCTCACAGTTAGAAACTTTGTCAAAACTGAATTATACTCTTCTTTTGCGTATGAAATTGGAAGAAGACGTTATTTTCTACCGAATAAGTAAAAGAAGGAATATTTTTATGCATGTTTTCCATGAAATATAATTGAATTTTCAAGGGCATAGAAAATCAATGAGAAAATTGCATACTACATAAGAAGTCATTTTTCTGCAGAGTATAGATCTTGCATACAGCCGAAAATAAGTTTTTTCGAAAGCCGGCACCCTGAGGTAACTGGATCCTTATAGATTTATGCTGCATCATGATTAGTTTTACAGCACTACTTAATTTATCTTTTCGAAACGAGAACGCATTTCGAAGTTGTGGTTGACATTTCATGAGTTAGCACATCTACTGTAAATGACAGCAAGGAATAACTCGTACGATGCAAATATAATGGTAGCCTACCCAAATTAAAAAGGACAATGGTCAACACCACAGTCAAGTAGGGCAACGCCATTGGGACTAGACGATATGTCGCCGCGAAAAATCCCAATTTATATACCATTGCGATCATTAGTTTTTTTCCCAAGCTTAAGGCGTTGACTTGTTTTGTCTGCTACTCAAAATCAGGGTTTGAATATGTTTTTTTAGCAAGCGGAATAATCCTTAACTAAGCCTTTAGACTGAGGACCAAATGGAGTAAGTGCTAACAGGCATAGGTGAAAATGGAACATTTTCTTTAATTCAAAATGTCATGGAGGATCTTTTCTGAAGTTGCAAGTGCCAGGATTACGAAAAATACCAACGTGGCCGTCTTCAAAGACTTAGAGAATAATATTTTTGTATTAAAATGCTTGATGTATTTCGTTTCCTTTCCATCCATAATGTCTCCGATAATTACGCACAGACTCTATTTAGATCGTGACATTATTCTTTAAAAAAATCATATTTGTGCAATTTTTGATAGAACGTTCTCATGCTAACAATACCCTCGCTGAGTGTTCATCGTCCTTCGTATTTTAATTACGCTTATATATCTAACCATATATCTTTTTATGAAATTTCTTTTAAAAAAGTGATGCATTTATGCTACATGAAACACTAATTGTATATAGTGGAGACGGTATTTTTATACTGAACGCTATGAGTCACACCTTAGATATCCAGATGCTCTGACCCCCATCGACGCTCCTAGAGCGCTGCCTAATTTATCTGTTATGCAAGACGACATGGCGTCTGCACACTCATGACCTTACTGTACCCTTTTCGTAAAATAAGCGTAATTTGCGGACAAGATTTATTCGAATTAATCGTACAATTGTAACGCTTGAATCCCACGAGTTTTTATCCGACAAACTTCAGACTATATTCAATAACATTACGGTCTTCGCCATATGCAAACACACAATCTAATAACCAGTTACAGCCTACATCAGATTTCATTCATTATGCAGACATGCAAACCAATAGGCTAAGGAATTATTTTAATCTGTCAAAAGCACAAATTTATAAAATGAACCGTGTAGACGGTTTCGTAGATTCTATACTGATTTCTGAGGAAATCCTGCTTCGGCAGGAAGAGGCATCACCGCTGAAGCAAGAACTTTATTCGAGGTAAAAGCAGATACGGGAAGTTCGTATTCGAAGGTTTTTAACAAACTGCACATGTAACAGTCCGCAAAGTCTCAGAGAATAATACTTCTGTATAAAAATGCTTGATGTATTTCGTTTCATTCCCAGTCATAATGTATCCGATAATTACGTAAAGCCTCTATTTGTCTCGTGACATCATTCTTTACGAAATTGATATTAGTGCAATTTTTGATGAAACATTCGCACGATGACAATGCTCGAAAAAGTGAGTATCGTTCTTCATGTTGGAATTGCACTTTTACAACTGGCCGTTCGTATGCTTATCGAATTTGTTTTAAAAGTAATTATGGTTTCATCCTACATGAAACACAAATTGTATAGAGGGGAGACGTTTTTTTATACGCAGTCACACATTAAAAATCCGGAATTTTCGATCACTATCGACGCTTCTAGAGCGCTGCCCAATTAATCCGTTAGACAAGGCGTAATTGCTCGCACACACTCATGACCGTATTGTACCATTTTCGGAAAACTGGCGGAATTTGTGGAGAAGATCTATTTGAATTAATCGCACAGTCGTAATGCTTGATTCCCACGCGTTTATATTCGACAAACTTCAGACTAAACGTAATAACATTACCGTCCTTGTCAAATGCAAACATACAATCTAGTAACCCTTTAAAACTAAACTACATTAAATTTCTTTTATTCTACGGATATTCAAACAAAGGGCCTAAATAAATTAGTTAAATCTGCCAAAGCACCAATTAATTAAGTGAACCGTGTAGACAGTTTCGTAGATTCTATATTGATCTCTGAGGAATACCTACTTAGTCAGGAGGAGGCATGACCGCTGAAGCAAAACTGTATTCACCCAAAGCTGAATATTCCTTTCCGAACACATCATTAGAGTTAAAAGCAGATACATGTAGTTCGTACAGGAGGAGCAGCAATAATTACGGGACGCGGTCGACATAACACCGCATGCATATGAAAATTCACGGTCCGGTAATTCACGGTTTTGTAAAATATCACATAAGCAAGAAGTGGTTGTTGATATTCAGAGGCTTCGTAGATGTTCAGCCACACACTGAGGAACGAGGAGATCTAAACTAATGTCATGCTAGATACGTCTATCTTATGTACTGGGACTCTCGCAACAAAGCACATATTTTGATCTGATTAAAATTATGGCAGAGAGGTAACAGATTTCGAATGCCTAGTCACCAAATCTGCTTCTCATTATTTTGCTAAAATATGCGTAGATTAACAAGACAGTTGAAGTTCTTCCAATCACGTATTGGTTGACCTAATAACGTTGTTGTGCATTGTCGCCTAGGTATATGAGTACTCCGCAGCTTTTGTTCCCCGCTCGACAGAGGTCAACGTTTAACCTGAAGAGGTCGTTCAGCGCATTTGATTTTGACTGAAAATCTGACAGATGCTATTGGTAAAAGCCAACAGTGCAGAACAGATCATATGCACTAGTTGTACCATTCGCTTTCAGTGTCTCGGCTGAAAGGTTATTTCGGTCGGATGCACTGGACTGCAGTCCCAGTAAATCGCTTCATCAGTAGTCGCGATCAGTGTCGCATTATAAATACTACCACCTTTCAGCCGTAATATTCGGGCCTCGGTTTACTCTGCTGACGTGCCCTTTTCTAGATTCTAAATCTTATGTCCGGTTTCTCACAGATTACTCTTTTAGTACACTCTAAAAATACCGTTTGGACTATGCTTGTTATTTTAAGTAAAAAATTTTGATAAATTTGGAATTTTGAGGACCCCTAAAGTTAAGCACATGAGAAATCGCGTTAACTTCGACAATTGTTTTACCAAAAATGTAAACGTCATATTCCTTTAATTTTTCATGAGATAGCTCACGAAACATAACGTGCCATGACATTGCCCAGCCGACAAAACGCACTGCTTCCACCTGTTTTATGTGCTAAGTCTAACCAGGTGACCAGCAGAAGGGGGTTGTTGACTCTGACATGGCTGTCCGTCTCGTGGCACTCTAAGGTGTGACTGGGACCCCTTAAGTGTCCAGAGACTTTAGAATTGACATCTGCCATCTTCACGACCGCCTCACGTCTGAGCACTCCCAGTCGGGAGTAACGGATCGGTCTATGTAACAGCCGACTTACCTGTTACCCAAAGTATTTAGCGATCGGCTCTTCATCATTCTGGGTTGTGTGTTGCATTTTTACATGCACTTAAAACAATTGGCAACATCAGAAAACACCGACCGAAAACATGTTTCCCATTTATCATTCTATTGACTAGTTAAATTCACCCAGGCACAAAAGTGTCAAATGAAGGACTTAAGTCTGGTGCACACCAGCCAAAATGCTTAACATTCCTCATCTTTTCCAATTGACCATTAAACCACATTATGCATGATATCCGCTGGGCATTAAAGGGAAAACTTATGCACTATTTTTTAATGATAGCACACAGAGTTTATTCGCAAAAGAGTGGCGGAGTATCGAGATAGACCATTTGGTGTAATATGCAAAATTTGATGTGATACATTAGCGCTGACAAGAACCCTACAGACACCACGAGTTTTTGGTTTAAACAGAAGATTATGGCAGTACAATTATATTTTCGTTTCTTTGAAATTTTACACATTCAGTTGCAATGCCAAAGCACCCATTACTGATTGTTAGTAAAAATGTATTAAACGATATGCAGGGCGAAGTTAACACCTTTTTCTAATTTGCCTGGTCACATTTACGCAGAAAACGTTCTTCTGAACTTGTTCGTGCAAGAAGGGGGGGGGAGGTAAACGCGGTCACGTTCATATAAAAACTAGGTTTTGAAGGAAATTTGATATGGGCGTTGCCTGTAAGGCACACGAAATCGGTCAGTGTAAAGTTCGATGTGGGCAGTCGATATCGGATATTCAGAAAAACAAAATGGTCTGCAGATTTTTTCTAAGGTGCACAGTTTTTTGGAACGTCGTCGTCAAACACTTGCTGCTTGCATACTTAGAGGATTAAACTTCAAGTCGGAAATTTACTGATACAGGTCAGTTTCAAGAGACCACTCACACTACATTATTTCAACTCGATCCGGCCACTAGCTTATTTGACATAAACGGTTTTCGAAATTAACCTACTATCGAACTCCTTTTAGGTCCTGACCAAACTAGTCTGTGTTTAGGCGGCGACGCTTTGGGGTCGGCAATAATAATATCAGAGGCGTGCATGATTTCGGTGGTCGTTTAAGGATAAGGCGGTTTTAGTAACACATAGAGAGTTAACTATTTTTACATGGAGGAACGTATTGAACTGACTCAAACAATTATCCAATAATATTGACGGATATTCTCCTTGCAAGTGTATGCGGGAGAAAAAAAAATAGCTGCCTTCAAAAAGTCGATATTTTGGCACCGTTAGATGACGATACGCATAACAGCGCCAGAGGAATCGTGCTGTAGAATTCCTATAACTTTTCCAAAGCAATCTTCCCACATTTGCAAGTCAAAGGCCCCAAAATTAGAACGTTAGGTATAATTTATTTAACCATATCCAGGACGAAATTAACACCTTTTTATTCTTTGCCTTGTCTCATTTAAGTAAAACAGTTTTTGCGAATGTGTTCGCCTAAGAAGAGTAGGGGTTGTAAGCGTTCACATTCATATAAAAACTAGGTTTTGAAGGAAATGTGATATGGGCGTTGGCTGTAAGGCAGACAAAATCTGTCAGTATAAAATTCAATGTGGGCAGTCCATATTGGCTATTCAGAAAAACAAAATGGTCCGTAGAATTTTTAATATAGACTCACAGTTCCTAAAATCCCCAGACTTTCTAAAACACTGTCGTCGTGACACTCGCAGATTGCCTACTTTTGGTGATAAACTTTAAGTTGGAAATTTACCGAGACAGGTTAATTTCAAGTGACCACTCACACCGCGTT